ACTAAAAGGCTTGAAGATGGTTTTCAAATTTCCACCTTTTGGGACATCTATCTCTAAATCATTCTCTTGTTTCCTCCTCTAGAATCCTCTGAGTAAGACTTTGGAGTCAACTAAAATAGCAATAGATACTGGGTTCCGCCATATTGATTCTGCTTACGTGTACCAAAATGAAAAGGAGATAGGACACGCTATTCGAAGCAAGATTGCAGATGGTGTTGTGAGGAGAGAAGACATATTTCTTACTACAAAGGTATTGTGTGCATACAAGCTAAAGTATGGAATAATAAAATATGTAAACATTTAAATTATATTGGCTTACTACCTACTGAAATGTGATTATTAGCATAACATTTATCCACATATATTTCACATATAAGTCTTAGTTTAAAATCACAGAAAAATATAGGCTTCTTACTCTCCACAAATGTATGGCTTTCAAATCCTTTTCTTTTATTATCTCAGGACAATGAAGGATAATTCAGTTTAATTTGTAAACTCAGAAATGACCTTGATCAGTTTTTAGTTTTCCTTATACCTTGGGTGGCTTAGAATATCTTGAACATTTAAAATATTGACATTTGTGGAGAGAGGGCAGGGCAAGATGACGGCGCCAGGAGGACTCTCATTCTGACCAGCAGCACAGCAGGATCAGCACAGTGACCAGCAATCAGAACTCGCGGCCATAAAACACAGGTGATTGTGTTTTCCAGGTGAGAGGATACCCCACGGTGGGGGATTCAATCAGCTTTTAACTCACCCGGCTAAACCTCGGAAGAGGTCCCGGTTCTGCCAGACACTTGGCCGCCAGCCCCAGCCCAGATCCACATGCCAGTGTCTCTCGTCAAGGTCCCAGACTGAACTGTGCACACCACACTAGCAGAGACTGGAATTTTCAGTCCAGAAATAACCCCGCAGTGCTGGAAATGATTGGGACTGACCTTAGGTCACCCAGACATCCCCTGGAAAAGACTCGGGTTCCGCAGGTGCCCCAGGAGCCAGGCCAGAGCCAGAGCTGGGGACCCAGGTGCGTGCACAGAGCCCTGCCTGCTTGCCTGATTCACTGCCTCAGATAGAACTGTGGGCCCCACGGCACCAAAGACTGCGTTTCACTGTCCGGTGCAAACACACAGGGAGGGAAATGGCTGGTCTGATCTCAGCTGACACCCCCACCCTGAAAAGGTCTCAGGAAAATTACCCAGTTTAGGCAGATGCCCAGGCTCCCAAAGGCCATAAAGGAAGACACAGGCAGTTTCTATAAGCTAGCTGGCAGAGATTGAGTTGTACGCCCCAGGGCAAAAAAGAGACTGGTAGTCCCTGTCTCCAGAGAATCCACAAGGAAGGAAGGAAACTGTACTGACTTAAATCACCCAAGCCTTCCCTGGAAAAAGTCTCACAGACCAGAGGGGCCAAGCCGCCATCACTCAGCTGTGCTCCAGACACAGGCAAAAACAGTTGCTGTGCGTGAGATGTCCAACTGGGTTACAGCAACTGATCATTAAATTTACAGCAAGAAACCCAGAAACAGGGCAGCTGTCTTCAGGACTTCCCTGGGTGAGATGAGAACCCTCTCGACTAACAAAGACCATAGTTACCACTCAAGTCTCTATCCCTGAGGTGAGCAGCAGCAACTCCTGAAAAAACGCCAGCCATCTAGGGACTATACCCAAAAAGCTGAGAAGACTTCCTTTAGGAAAAATCAACTTTCTGCCACGGAGATTCTCTCCACCACAGGATCCCCAGGAACCACCAGAAAATAACCCCAAACACATAAGATAGCACAATGTGTAGAGGCCAGCATAAAAGCTCAAGCAACAAAAGACAGAGCAATATGGCATATCCAGAACCCAGTTACCCAGGGGCAAGTAGCCCTGGACACCCCAGCATAACTGAAATCCAAGAAGATGACCTAACAACTATGCTCATGAAGATGATAACAGAGAAAACAAACAAGATACGTAAAGACATAGAGGAAGATAAACTCAAACATAATATTGCCACTCTAAAAAAATAGAGGAAGCTGCAGCCAAACAGTTTATGGCCTTTAGAAAGTAAATGCTTAAAGCACTGAATGAAATAAAAGAAACAGAGTTGAAGGAACTAAAAGAAAAACAGGAAAGTACAATCAGACAGGTGAAGGAAGTAAACAAAACAACTCAAGACCTGAAGATAGAATTGGAAAAATTAAAGAAAACACAAATGGAGGAAATAATGGAGAGGAAGAATCTAGGGAAGAAAACAGGAACTACAGAGGTAACCATAACCAACAGACTACAAGAGATGGAAGAAAGAATCTCAGGGGTAGAAGATACAATGGAAGAAATCAATGTATCTGTCAAAGAAAATGTTAAATCCAAAAAATTCCTGACACAGACCGTCCAAGAAATCCAAGACAATATGAAAAGACAAAAACTAAGAATAATAGGTATAGAGGAAAAAGAAGACTCCCTTCTCCAAGGCCCAGAAAATATTTTCAACAAAATCATTGAAGAAAATTTAACTAAGTTAAAGGAGAGGCCAATAAGAATACATGAGGCCTACAGAACACCCAACAAATTTGACCAGAAAAGAAAATCCTCCTGCCACATAATAATTAAAACAGTAAGTATACAGAACAAAGAAAAAATACTAAAAGCTGCAAGGGAAAAAGTCCAAGTAACATATAAGGGCAAACCCATTAGAATCACACCTGACTTTTCAACAGAGACTATGAAAGCCAGAAGGGCCTGGACAGATATCATGCAGACCCTAAGAGAACACAGATGTCAGCCCAGGATACTATACCCTGCAAAACTCAGTCCTCATAGATGGAGAAAACAAGATATTCAATGACAAAAACAAATTTCAACAATACCTACACACAAATTCATCATTACAGAAGACACTGGAAAGGAAAATACAACCCAAGAAAATTAGCTTCTGTCAAGAAAACACAGGAAATTATTAACATTACTACACTAAAACAAAAAGCAACCAAGCACACAACCTGATGACCACAGCCAACATCAAATCAAAGAATCTAACAGCCACTGGTCATTAATCTCTCTCAACATCAATGGACTCAGCTCTCCAGTAAAAAGACAAAATTTAACAGAATGGATACGTAAACAAAACCCAGCAATCTGTTGCATACAAGAAACACACCTAAGACACAAAGGTAGACATTACCTGAGGGTAAAGTGTTGGAAGACGACTTTCCAAGCAAATGGACCCAAGAAGCAAGCAGGAGTAGCCATTCTAATATCTGATAAAATAGACTTTCAATCAAAATTAATAAAAAGAGATGGGGAAGGACACTTCATACTCATCAAAGGAAAATTCCACCAGGAAGACATCACAATCCTGAACATCTATGCCCCAAATACAAGAGCACCCACATTCGTTAAAGAAACATTGATAAAATTTTAACCACATATAGATCCCCACACATTAATAATGGGAGACTTCAGCACCCCACTCTCAACAAAGGACAGATCAACAAAACAGAAATTAAACAAAGAAACAATGTCTCTGACAGAGGTCATGAATCAAATGGACCTAACAGACATTTACAGAACTTTACACCCAAACAGAAAAGAATTTACCTTCTTCTCAGAACCTCATGGAACCTTCTCCAAAATAGACCATGTAGTTGGTCACAAAGCAAGCCTCAACAGATACAAGAAGATTGAAATAATCCCTTGTATCTTATCTGATCATCATGGAATAAAGCTGGACCTCAACAATAACAGAAATAGCAAAAAGCCTACACACACATGGAAATTGAACAACTTGTTACTAAATGACAGCTGGGTCAGGGAAGAAATAAAGAAAGAAATTAAAGTCTTCCTAGAACTCAATGAAAATGAAGACACAACATACCCAAACTTGTGGGACACAATGAAAGCAGTGCTAAGAGGAAAGTTCATAGCACTAAGTGCCTTCAAGAAGAAATTCGAGACAGCCATTCAAGCAACTAAATGGCTCACTTAAAAACCCTAGAAAAAGAAGAAGCATAAACACCAAGAAGGAGTAGATGGCTGGAAATAATCAAACTCAGGGCTGAAATCAATCAATTAGAAACAAATAAAACAATTCAAAGAATCAATGAAACCAAGAGCTGGTTCTTTGAGAAAATCAACAAGATCGACAAACCCTTAGCCAAGCTAACTAAAAGGCAGAGAGACACCACCCAAATCAACAAAATCAGAAATGAAAAGTGGGACATAACTTCAGACACTGAGGAAATCCAAACAATCATTAGGACTTACTTCAGAAGTCTATATGCCACAAAATTTGAAAATCTAAATGAAATGGACAATTTTCTTGATCAATTTGACTTACCAAAGCTGAATCAGGACCAGGTAAATCAACTAAATAGTCCTATATCCCCCAAAGAAATAGAAGCAGTCATCAAAATTCTCCCATCCAAAAAAAGCCCAGGACCAGATGGCTTCAGCACAGAATTCTACCAGACCTTCAAAGAAGAGCTAACTCCAATTCTCTTCAAACTATTCCACAAAATAGAAACAGAAGGAATATTACCAAACTCATTCTATGAAGCCACAGTCACCTTGGTATCTAAACCTCACAAAGACTCAACAAAGAAAGAGAATTTCAGGCCAATCTCCCTTATGAACATTGACGCAAAAATACTTAACAAAATACTTGCAAACCGAATACAAGAACACATCAAAGATATTATCCACTATGACCAAGTAGGCTTCATCCCAGGTATGCAGGGGTGGTTCAATATACGGAAATCCATCAATGTGATCCACCATATTAACAAACTGAAAGAAAAAAAACACATGATAATCTCCCTAGATGCTGAAAAAGCATTTGACAAACTCCAACATCCATTCATGTTTAAAGTACTGGAGAGATCAGGGATACAAGGCACATATCTAAACATAGTAAAGGCGATATAAAGCAAGCCTATAGCCAACATTAAACTGAACGGAGAGAAACTTAAAGCAATCCCACTGAAATCAGGGACAAGACAAGGCTGCCCACTCTCTCCATATTTCTTCAACATAGTGCCGGAAGTCCTTGCTAGAGCAATAAGACAGTTGAAGGAGATCAAGGGGATACAGATTGGAAAGGAAGAAGTCAAATTATCACTATTTGCAGATGATATGATAGTAAACATGAGTGACCCCAAAAACTCTACCAGGGAACTCCTACAGCTGATAAACACCTTCAGCAAAGTGGCCGGATACAAAATTAACTCAAAAAAATCAATAGCACTCCTGTATACAAAAGACAAAAGGGCTGAGAAAGAAATTAGGGAAACAACACTCTTCACAATAGCCACAAATGACATAAAGTACCTTGGTGTAACCCTAACCAAACAAGTTAAAGACTTGTATGAAAAAATTTCAAGTCTCTGAAGAAAGAATTAGAAGAAGATATAAGAAGATGGAAAGATCTTCCATGCTCATGGCTTGGCAGGATTAACATAGTAAAAATGGCCATCTTACCAAAAGCAATCTACAGATTAAATGCAATTTCCATCAACTTGCCAACACAATTCTTTAGAGACCTGGAAAGAAAAATTCTCAACTTCGTATGGAATAACAAGAAACCCAGAATTGCTAAAACAATCCTCTAAAATAAAATATCTTCTGGAGATATCTCCATCACTGATCTCAGGCTGTACTATAGAGCAACAGTTATAAAAACTGCATGGTACTGGCATAGAAACAGAATGGTTGATCAATGGACCCGAAGAGAAGACCCAGAAGTAAACCCAAACACTTATGGACACCTGATTTTTGACAAAGATGCCAAAACCATACAATGGAAAAAAGATAGCATCTTCAACAAAGGGTGCTGGTCTAACTGGATGTCTACATGTAGAAAAATGAAAATAGATCCATACTTATCACCCTGCACATACCTGAAGTCCTAGTGGATCAAAGCACTCAACATAAAACCAGACATATTAAATCGGCTAGAAAAAAAAAGTGGGGAATACCCTAGAACTCATTGGTACAGGAAAAAACTTCCTGAACAGAACATCAACAGCACAAGCTCTAAGGGCAACAATCAATAAATTGGACCTCATGAAATTGAAAAGCTTCTGTAAAGCAAAGGACACCATCATCAAAACAAAGCGACTCCCTACAGATTGGGAAAGTATCATCAGCAACCCTTTATCTGACAGAGGACTCATTTCCAGTATATATAAAGAACTAAAGAAGCCGAAAAGCAGCAAACCAAGTAATCCACTTAAAAATGGGTAACAGAGCCAAACAGAGAACTCTCTGTAGAGGAATATCGAATGGCAGAGAAGAATTTAAAGAAATGCTCAACCTCATTAGCCATCATGGAAATGCAAATCAAAACAACCCTGAGATTTCACCTTACACCCATCAAAATGGCCAAGATCAAAAACTCAAGGGACAACACATGCTGGAGAGGTTGTGGAGAAAGGGGAACCCTTCTCCACCGCTGGTGGGAATGTAAACTGGTACAACCACTCTGGAAATCAATCTGGCACTTTCTCAGACAACGAGGAATAGTGCTTCCTCAAGATCCAGCCATACCACTCCTAGGCATATAGCCAAAAGAGGCTCAAGTACACAAAAAGGACATTTGCTCAACCATGTTTGTAGCAGCCTTATTTGAAATAGCCAGAAGCTGGAAACAACCCAGATGCCCCTCAACTGAAGAATGGATGCAGAAATTGTGGTACATCTATACAATGGAGTAATACTCAGCAATGAAAAATAAGGAAATCATGAAATTTGCAGGTAAATGGTGGGACCTGGAAAGGATCATCCTGAGTGAGTTGTCCCACAAGCAAAAAGACACACATGGAATATACTCACTCATATAAACATGCAACATAGGATAAACCCACTAAAATTGGTACATCTAAACAAACTAAGCAAAAGAGAGGACCCTAACTAAAATGTTCAATCCCCTTCCTGAAAGGCAAAGAGGATGGACATCAGAAGAAGAAGAAAACAGGAAACAACCTAGGAACCTGCTACAGAGGGCCTCTGAAAGCCAGAAGAAGAAAACAGGAAGCAACCTAGGAACCTGCCACAGAAAGCCTCTGAAAACCTCTGCCTTGCAGACTATCAAAGCAGATGCTGATCCTGATGGCCAACTGTCGGGCAGAGTGAATGGAATTTTATGTAACAAGTGGGACACGGCTGGGATACAGAGTTAATAAAATGTAACTGATAAGAAAAAAATAAAATTAAAAAAAAAAGAGAAGTGGGAAATAGCTAGAGCTGGAGAGGACAGGAACTCCACAAGGAGGGCAACAGAACAAGAAAATTTGAACACAGGCAACTTCCCAGATACTCATACTCCAACCAAGGACTATTCATGGAGATAACCTAGAACCCCTGCACAGATGTAGCCCATGGCAGTTCAGTTTCACAGTGGGTTACATAGTAATGGGAAGAGGGACTGCCTCTGACATAATCTGATTGGCCTGCTCTTTGATCACCTCCCCCTGAGGGGGGAGCAGCCTTACTTGGCCACAGAAGATGACAATGCAGCCACTTCTGATGAGAACTGATAGTCTAACATCAGAAAGAAGGAGAGGAGGACCTCCCTTATCAGTGAACTTGGGGAAGGAATGCATGCAGAAAGGGGAGGAAGGGTGAAACCCGGAGGGGAGGAGGGAGGCGCTTATAGGGGGTACAAAATGAATAAAGTGTAATTAATAATAATAAAAAAATATTAAAACAATATTGACATTTTTATTTCCTACTGAAAATAACAGAGGATCAGAGTTCATGAAATGTTAAATAATATTTATCCAATTATTAAAAATTTGTGTCCAAGGATTATTAAGTATCCATAGCACATTTCATATAATTTATAATAATAAACAAATGCTAACATTTCCTCAAAATTGAGGGATGGGATATTTATAGAAATATATCTTTGTAACATATGATTTGAACATTATGACCATGAAATTTACCCCTTTAGTAGTGTCTTTCCCATATTAATTAGATTGACTATTTGTGACCAATAATATTCTGAAGTTCACATATATAGATCAAATCAAATATCCCAACTGAAATACACAGTATGCCCTGTAGTTACTATCTTGTACGCATTACAAAACTTCTCAGCTCTGATTATTATTAAGATAATTTTCATTCTTTACCCCTACAGCTTTGGTGTACATTCCACCGACCAGAATTGGTTGACATTGGCTTAGAGAGATCACTGAAAAACTTTCAACTAGATTATGTTGACCTCTTTCTTATTCATTACCCAGTGTCAATTAAGGTATGCCATTTGCATCATGTAACCTAATTAACTTTGTCTATATAAAGGATAAATGGTGTTGTGCTTCACTTATTTTGTGGTTGTTTCCTTTCCCATTTCCAATAGATTTCTAAGTCTATCGCAATGGGTGGGATGCATGTATTGGCTGAGATTTCTATAACAACTGCTTTTATTACAGCCATCAGAGGTATTATATACAAAAGATGGAAATGGAAAAATATTCTTTGAGACAATAGATCTTTGTGCTACATGGGAGGTGAGTATATAAAGGTGAGACCCCAGAGGAACCCAAAAGAGAGTGCCAGGCCAATTTTTCACTTTTGAGGATGGAGTATGCACCCTTGAGTCTAGAAAGCACTCTGGGTTCACAGGTATTTTCCTGAAGTACTGGGACAGAATGGACGACTGAGTGGAGAGAAATAGAAGCGAAGGCTGGAATGCAATTGAGAGAGAACTCTCTGAAGTATCACACATGAATGTGGTTTGATAAAATCTGACCCTAAGTTCTCCCCTCCAACTCCTCCTCAGCCACTCTTTCATCCTAACTCTTCTTTAAGCCCACTGAGTCCACTTAGTACTATTGGCATGTGCAGTGCTGATGTAGTACAAGATGGCATGGTTCAGAAGCAGAACACAGTGAAAACTGACTCTCCCTCCTCTAGCAGCAATTACTGACAATAGTTCCTCAGCTAGGTGTAGGAGTCTAGAAGACCCATCTGATCCATGCTGAAATTTTAGATGGCTTTAAACTTGGGTGGGCTATTTGTGCAGCTACGGCTACTATGAAATCATGTGTATAAATCCCTGAAATTTAAAAACAAACAAACAAACAAACAAAAACTTTCACAGCAGTCCTCCCTTAACTGTGAGTCTTTTAATCTTTCTACCCCCTACCTCTTTCCATGATGATCCCTGAGCCTTAGGGAAAAACATTTGATACAGACTTCTGATTTAGACCTTAACAATCCAGTCTGTTATGCTTGCACTTTGACCAACTGTGAGCTTGTACGAATTGCCATCTACTTCAAAATGAAGCTTTCTCATAAGGTTTGAGAGCTCCAGTAGGCCGTAGAAATAAATCTAAATATTTAGGGGGTAGTTTAGGAGTGTATCCATTTAGCAGAATAGAGGTAGGCTGTCCTTGAGGACTTATGACCTAGCCAGCTGAGAGTTTGGCACAGGTACCAGTACCAAGTATAAATTGTATTTTGTGGAGTCATTCTTAAATACTATCTGAAAGTGGTTGTAACTCCAAGCGCAGTTGTGGCTGTATTATAACAATAAACATATCTTACCAGGCTATTCACTATTGTAGCTCACAGAGTTTACCACTAAATGAGACTTCTGATTATTTCTATCCCTCATTAACGTGCACAGCACCTTCCAGCACTATAGAAGCTAACTAGCAGTGATAAAGCTTCCAGGTCACTACCAGATTTATTTCTTCATGTCCTGTGAGTCAACTCCATGGTATCTGCAGCAACAATATCTTACCATCAAGTTAGGAAGGGTACCCAAGAGAAAGACAATAACTTGTACTTTGGGGGCGGCATGATACTTCAAAGACCAAATTTTTATTTGAAGGGACTAACCAACACAACACCTGGCTTTTTGTTTGATAGTCTAGGAATATATCATCTTTATTCTATGGTATCTAGGAAGGGCACTCTCCACACTTTGGGGGTAACACCTTTTAAGCTTCCCTTATCTTCATATATATATACATATGTACATATATATATGTATGTATATGGAAGCTTTTACAGTAGTAGGTTTCCACTTGACTTTTTCATAAGACTGCAGAGATGGTTATTTCTCCCATCACTGTCTCCTCTACTCTGCCCTCCCATCCCCACATTACTTAACCCTTCTTCCTTCATTATTCCCACTCTGCTTTTACCCAACCTGTGCTCTACCACTCTCCCTTAAAATCTACCCCTCCGGGGTGATTTTCTGACCTCTACACATGCTCTAATTGAAATGCATATCTAAAGATTCAAAGCTAGAATCCACTTATAAAAGAAAACATGTGATATGATGAATATCTTTCTTGTTTTGAGGTGCCTTATTCAGAATAATTATTTCCAGCTCTATCTATTTACTAATAGCAATGGAATTTTAGTATGAATTGCTAATTTTAGAATTTTAGTTGTGTTATGTCTGAATAAAATTTTATTGTGTAAATGGACCAAATTTACCTTATCCTTTCATTCTTTGGTGGAGTCTAGGTGTTTCCAATTTCTTGAAATTGTGAGTAGAGTGGTAATGTAAATGGATGAGAAAGAATCTAGATAGGAAGGTATACTCCTAGTATATAGCTGCATCATATAGTAGACATTTTGCCAGCTTCGTGAGGAGCCTCCAAAACAATTTCATTTCTATCTGTCCCAATTTCCACTTGTACCGATAGTGAATAAGTGTTCTATTTTCTCCATATCTATACCAGTATGTTCTCCTTGACTGAATTAAGATTAAATTTCAAAATTGCTTTAATTTTTATTTTGTTGTTAGCTGTGGATATTGAACATTCTAAAAAAGTATTTCTTAACCAATTATATTTCTTCTTTTGTTAACTACATTTTCCAGTTCTATAACACACTTATAAATTGATGTTTTTTCTTTGAGTTTAGTCTTTTAAATACTTTGTAGTACTTTGTGTTTAGCTTTTTAAAAAATCCATTGTCATCTGTAGACAGTTCTTTTAACAGTTTTATTTTTTCATTCATATTAACTGAATGTTTTTGTTAGGGTTTCTATTGCTGTGATAAAACACCATCGCCAAAAGCAACTTGAAAAAGAAAGGTTTATTTCATCTTACAATTCCACATCACAGTCAATCACTGAGTGAAGCCAGGAGAACTAAAACAGAGCAGAAATAGTGGCACGGATTGAAGCAAAAACCATGTGAGAATGCTGCTCACTGGCTGGCCTGCTTTCTTATACCACCCAGGAACATCTACCTAGGTGTAGCACCACTCACAGTGGCCCGAGTCCTCCCACATCAATGACTAATTAAGTGAATGTCCTACACGCTCACCTACGTGCAAATCTTAGAGGCATTTCTTCAATTGGGAGATCTTCTTTTCAAATGACTCCAGTTTGTTTCAGTGCCACACAGTTTAATAAATGTATTCATGACCCTATACATTTATTAAAGTTCCTCCTTCCCTAGGCCATGGAGAAATGTAAGGATGCAGGACTGGCCAAGTCCA